AATACCAAATTATTTATTTAGGATTAAACCGCCCAACGTGCATCAGACCCGCTTTTCCACCGCATAGCTAGAGCAGCAAAGATGCTTCAGCCCAAATCAGACCTAAACATGTACAAGCATCAAAAATGAAGCAGTATGCCAAATTTTGCTGCTCTTGCTGCTTGCAGTCTGAACGTAGCATAACACTGATTCAGAGTGGGACAAAAATGCACTCAAAGTGTTACTTTAAGAATGCAAAATTTACTCTGTACCCCTTTGTCTTCTGTTGCTTAGCAATACTGTAGCTGGTATACTTTGGGACTACAATGGCTTCTAGGAGGGGGCAATATGCAACACCCATGCTACTTTGTTACAAGACATAAAATAAGTTCAATTTCAGCAAACCAGATTGAATGAAAACAATAGTTTGCTTTTGATCCGAATCAAACAATCAGACCAAAAGACGTTTCTGGTGTAAATCGATTGATTAGTGCGTCTATGGTCCTCTTTACTAAAGCAAAAATACTTAGCAAGTCATTAGAAATATCTTAAGAGTTTTCAGTTATAGAGTCTGAGGTGAGGTTTGTGTCGTAACTTTTTGTCTTTCCTAACACTTTTGACTCTTCAGCTCCCTGATCTCATTAATCCTTTCCGTATTCAGAGGCCAGTGCAAAGACCAAAGATGGCGTCCAATGTGCCTTTGAAGAGCTAGTGGAGAAGATCCTCCAGACTCCAGGGCTCTGGGAGAGCGACAACCAGGGTCAGAAGGTCCAGCTGGGGCATCAAGAGCAGGGCGGAGGAAGGGCATGTGGAGGATACTGCTCCATACCCTGAAACTAGAAGAAACGGCAAAAACGGCGACCTGACAGAAACTACAACGGACCAGAGATATGGAGCTTAAGAGGGGCGGAAAAAAAAAAAAAAAAAAGAGAGACGAATTGTTGGAGTTCTGTCATCAGAACGAACACTGCAGTTTTGCACAATTACTGTTCAACTTCTATTACTTTATCATGTTCAGTTAGTGTGTGGAGATTCCTGCGGTAACCATCTGTAGGTCGGTGGTGGTGAAATTAATTAAACATACGAAGGATACCACGACCGTACACGTCTAGGTTAAAGTGATGTCATTAGCTACAGTTACTCAGTTGCACATTACGGCATTACATTACCAGCATTGTGCCTGTAACATAATCTGATTTGTGGGGCTGTGATAGGTGGCCTTGCAGGTTTTACTCTAAATATGGAATTATTGTAAAAAAAAAAAAAAAAAAAAAAGTGTTTTTTTGTTTTATTGGCTCCAAAATTCCCAACTTTTGAGCATCTTGAGGTGGCAAAGACTGAATACTCTCAAATAAAATGTTAAACAATGGAGCCTAGTTACTGATAACATTGTTACCCCTCCCCCGTCTCGGCTGTACACTCCCCCCTCCACAAGGTTACTTCTTGCTACAAGGATGCCCATTTACTCACTGTTTTAATCCTACTCTTCCAAACTCGACCAGTTTATTTCCATTTGTTTCATTTAGCGTTGCTTCCTTTATAATTATCGTTTATTAACCACAGAAAGAAAACATTCCCAAGCACTTCTCTCACTCAAGATCCACATGTGTTTGAATTCCAGCTTTAATTTGGACATATTTACTTTATTATTACCAGTAATTGTTTTCTGGGAATTTAAATAATTTTCTTTTTTTTTCTTTACTGTTGCTTTGTTGTGCTTTTCAGTAGTGTGCTGTTTCTTGTCAATCCTAAACCTGCCTTAACACTAGAAGAGTTGCAGTCAAGTAGCACTCGATCTGTTTTGAATTTAAATAAACGGAAACCCGAAGATGGGATCTCTCATCTCCTACAAGTCTTTGTTTGATGGCTGTCGTGTGGTTTAGTGTTTTCCTTCTAAAGTAATTTGTTGACTTGTCTGTTGATGCATATATTCCTTGCAAAGAATAAAGGCAGAAACTGCAGAGGCGGACAATCCAGGCTAATCAGTTAAGTGAAGAGATAATCCAGAAATACTTGGAGGTATGGAAAAACCTTATATTTTCCTAATGGGTCTTATACACTCTGGAAAGTATGCATGCATTTTCCAAATTAGGATAAATAAAGGAAATGGAAATGGGCTTCATTTGTGTTAAAGTGCTTAAATGCATATAGGCACTTAAGATAACATAACCAACTATTTTGCTTGTTGATGTTGTTTGAACTAGTAATACATCAGTGGTTTATGGGTTTTGTAGAAATGTTTGAAAACTCAGCCCATAGATTTGGTCACAAATCGACTCTAGTACTATTTTGTGGGTCATAAGCTGAAATGTTTATTAATCTCTGTTTTATGCAGCTGCTTACTCTAAAAAAATCACATCCATTTATCAATCCATAAATTAAACCTTAAACCAAATGTCTCTGAGTCCATCTGTCTGTTTTTTCTGTCTATCCATTCATGTGTCATTCCAGATTCCTTCC